TTGTTGTTCAGGATCCTTCATCAATTTTTAGCAATGCAAATCGTTCACTGATCATGTTCAAGATTGATTCAGTTTAGATTTGTTCATTCGAGGAATAGAATGGCAGTGACAAACAAATTTTAAAGCATCAATCTAATGTGTTTTCCTGAGCAGTAGTTGTCAACTTCTTGATAACAACGACCAAACTCTCATCGTAAATTTATCGTCTACAAATGATTCAACAACTACCATGACATTCCAAATTGAGAGGTATGTTAATGGAATGGTCGTATGCCTTCGCTTAAGCAGTCAGCGCACAACGAATTGAATGAAGCATCATCTGAATGCTAAAGAAAGATGCAGATCATTGTTTGAAAGTCGCTCTTCCAGCTGATATTCAAATGTTTAATTTGGAATCTGAATGATAGTTGACCATGTTTGTATTTCAATGATAGTGTTGATGCTTTGCATTCTCTACACTGCAACTGAATTTTCGATTCAAATGTGAATGATATGAAACGATAATCACAGGTCGCATGCAATTCCTTAATAAATTTATGCATCAACGCAATATGTATCAAAAAATCGAATCAAAAGATTGTATCCGCTGCGATCGTCCAATTTTAGTCTTTAAGAACCTTCATCAGTTTTCAACTATGCAAATCGTTTATTCTCCTTATTTAAAAGATATCAGTACCTTGATGTATTCACCTGTTAGTTTGATTATTACTGTTGACAAATGTACTTGCAAGGAGCACAAACGTAAGATTTAGCGTGAATCAGTTGAAAGGATTCATATGACAAATAAGAGCCTTTTTATCATATCATATGGATGATTCCGCCATCTTCATTGTTTTTCTTCTGCATTAGTTGTCAGAATCTTGATAATAACGAGGACAAATCATAATCACGTTCAAGCCGCATTTTGCGTGTGCATTGTGCATTTACTTTTTCTTGCGTACGATCAGTAATCTCGTCATAATAATTTCAGTGCAGTTTTGTGCCATCCGGATGCTTACGAATCTCTCTTCATTACATCACCACTATTCCATGCATTCTGTCAAATACCACTTCCCTCTATTGACAAAATCAAACTTAGTCTCCGAAAATCTGCGAACTGGATGTCGCCACGTTCTGTTAGTTGAGGAATATGGTTCATACTTGCTTGTCAAAACAATCATAAATAGTAATGGAGGTCGCGCAAACCACAGTGATAATGATACACGATATCATCTACCCATATCCTTATCAATCCTTGATATTTAAAGATTCTGAACATTTCGCTAAATAGTATAAGTGATGAATTTTTTTCATTTTGAGTCTTCTTTTCTGTGTTACCTCCTAGAATATGAAATGCCATTGTTTTTTTTTGGTATCAGGAGTTTGTTTGGTCAAGAGTATCTCATAATTTCTGATAATCATCCAAAAATTCGCACAATTCGAGATAGTGTTTTATTCTGCTTCGGTATTCTTATCTTTTGAAATAAGTTTCTGATTTTCACCTCATTCTTTCTCAGCTTTCAGTGGGAACTCTGATTCTGTTCTCGGTTTCAAGTTT